AAGGAAAGGAAAGGAAAGGAAAGGAAAGGAAAGGAAAGGAAAGGAAAGGAAAGGAAAGGAAAGGAAAGGAAAGGAAAGGAGAAATGAAAGGAAAAAAGAAAGGAAAAAGACCCCCCTGGGTCCCCCCTCCTGTCAGGGACGTGTAAAGAGCAATTTGGGATTATTTTGCCCCAAATGGCAGCAAAATCCCCCCCCAGTCCCCCAGAGTGGGGTGGGAGAGGCTCTGGCTCCCAAAACTCTCCGGAGGCCTTGCCAGGATCCCTCCTGTTTGTCCCCAAAGCTCCGGGGCAGGAGGAACAATCAGGGTTTGTTTACTTGGAACATCAAATATTTGATTTTATCAAGGTTTTCCTCCTCTGGAACACTCCTGCTCCCGTGGGATTCCCTGTGGGAATGTGGGTTTTTGGGAGGAAGAGGGGGAGGGATCCTTCATCCAGGTCCAAAAGGGATGTGGAGACACCAGGGCAGCCAGAATTCCAAGGGGAGGGGAGGGAAAGGGGAAGGGAAGGTTTGGGAAGGGAAGGTTTGGGAAGGTTTGGGAAGGGAAGGTTTGGGAAGGGAAGGTTTGGGAAGGTTTGGGAAGGGAAAGAAAGGAGAAAGGGGAAAAAGAGGGAAAAGAGAGGGAGAAGGGAGAAGGGAAAAGGGAGGGAAAGGAGAGGGAAAGGAGAGAGAAAGGAGAGGGAAAAGAGGGAAAGGAGAGGGAAAAGGGGGAAGGAGAGAGAAAAGAGGGAAAATTGAGGGGAAAAGAGGGAAGGAGAGGGAAAAGACAGAAGGAGAGAGAAAAAGGAGAAGGAGAGGGGAAAAGGAAGGAAAAGAGAGGGAGAGGGAATGGAGAAAGCAGAGGGAAAAGGGAAGGGAAAGAGAGGGGAAAAGAGAGGGAAAGAGGGGGAAAAGGGGGAAGGAGAGGGAAAAGGGGGAAGGAGAGGGAAAAGGGGGAAAGAGAGGGAAAAGGAGGAAAGAGAGGGAAAAGGAGGAAAGAGAGGGAAAAGGGAGGGAAAAGTGAGAGGAAAAGAGGGAAAGAGAGGGAAAAGAGGGAAGGAGAGGGAAAAGGGATGGAAAAGGGGGAAGGAGAGGGAAAAGATCCCCAGAATCACGAGAAAGGGGGATGTGAGGGTTTGGAAGCCCCTCCCAACACCACGAGGAGCAGTTTGGGAAAAGCAGGTTCACTGGGATCCCCCGGATCCGTGGGATGCTCCATAAAACCCAAATAAAGGCCTCACCCCCTGGCCTGACTCCCTGGAATTCCAGCTGATCCCAGAGCTGCAATTCCAGGGAGCCAAAGGGATAATTTTCCCTGATGTGCTCTGGGGGGAAGGAGGGGGGGTTTAAGCTCCAAAATAAACAGGGCAGGAATGGTTTTAGTCACCCAGCTCCCAAAAAACCTCCTGGAAAAACAGCTGCAGCACCTGGGAAAAGCCTGGAAAACCGGGAAAACCGGAGAGGCTCCCGGCAGAACCAGCTCGTCCCGGGAGAGGATCCCCAGGGATGTCAGGGCTGAGGTGCTCATTAAAATTAACTCATTAAAAAGTTAATTGTCCTGGTGGCATCCCGGGAAACCAGGGC